TAAAGTGTTAAATTAGATTTGTTGGACCATCAAAAGGACTTGTTGATGTGACAGCTGAGTTGATACCATAGCTGACTAATAGAGTGTGATTTAGGAGAGATGACTGTGTCCCATTTATAGAGGTGATTATTGCAGTCAGAAATTCTGACATAATTTAAATTGGGCAAGTAAGAAATAGTATGGAACTGGGTGACAATTAGAACCTTTTTCTGTGGTAATTGATAAAAAATTATATCAGATTTATAATTAGCTCTTTTTTTTTTTTTTTTTTTCTCAGACATTTGATACCAAAAGTTGGCATATTTACACAATATTATAGAAAATATACTGATTAATTAAAAACTGTTCCTCCTTTGCTTGAACCAAAATATTAGTGCTTCTCAACCTCCATGCTTTTTGTGAAATGTCTCTGAGTCTTTTTTGTTCCACCTTCCACAAATGAGAACTTCCAGAATAGCAATTTAAAAATCAGTGAGACAGTATCTGCCTGTAATTATATACAGCTATGTTTGTGAGGCTCCATTGCAAAAGTAATTGAAAAGATTGTAGCTGATACTGCTCCTCGTAAAAGTCCTTTTATAGCTATTGCATAGTAGGGTTAGATATAATTTCATGAATTGTTTTAGAAAACAAAAGAAAGAAACATTTTATGTAGCAGATCATTGCAGCACTTCCTCAAAAACGGAATGACAAGTGGAAACTTAATGACTTCTGCACACAAGAGGCACATGAGCGCTTCTTGGGTAATCAAAAGAATACAACAGTGTGGGTTTGCCCTTAAAATGTGTATGCGGGCTCTGTGATAAATCGAGAGATGTTCCAGACAGAGTGACTTGAAGTCCTGAACTTTCTCCCACCAAGAATTAAGGGTCTTCGTTGCAGTGCTCTGTTAAAGATCAATAAGGCATGTGACTTGAATAACATAGCCGTGTGCACTGATGTTCATTTGCACCAATATATTTGTGTGGGGGGGACAAAGAAAGTGAATTTTCTCATTCTGCCTCTGGTCACTGTTTTGGAACCCAGTCCCGACACAGACCCTGCCCCACCTCCCAGAGATCTCTGCATTGCCACCACCCCAGCCCCCTGCTCACCATCCCTATGAAGAAGCCTACCCTCACTGCCCTCTGGCACCTGCATTGAAAGACAATCCTTGGGAATCTATCCAGACCCTATGACTGTCTAAGGATATCTTGGGCAGATTTTCTTCTGCCAAAGTGGTGCAAAGTGTTCCCCACCTCTTGGTTACCTCCAGTGAAGGTTATTTTATGTAAATACGTCTCATGAGCATGGCCCAGAAAAGTGAGATTTGGAAACTTTGATTGTTCACATGTAACCCACCAAAATGGCTGTGGACTCCTGTAAATTGTAGGGTGAGGAGTTTGATAGCCATCAGTTGCTCACCTTGCTTTGAAACTTCTGTTGGTGCTGGCTGCTCTGGGGTAGCTTGGTGGCCTCTATGGAGCAAATCTCTGTGGATCTCCTCTGCCAGTCCACTTGAAGAGGACACCCATTCTCTTTATCTTTGCTTGAGATACATGAAAAATTAATTGAGGCTCCCAAAGGCCCCATTTGCTGTATGCTTTTAGGCATACTGTAGCTCAGATAGTGATTTTTTTTGTCCATACCCAAAAACAAACTTTTGGGAATAGTCAGACATCCTTGGGATTATAGAAACTTGGCATAGTTGCAACTCCGTATAATCCTGAGCTTTCCAAACTGCAGAGACAGGTGGAGTTGCCAGAGTATTCTGTTCATGTAATCTGCCACAAATAGGCACACTGTGTGCATCTTCCTTCTGTCTTCTTAGCTTGAGTGAAGACATCAGAATGCTTAAGTTCAGCTGGAGTCAAGATAACAACTCTGTGGACATTCACTTTGTTCATATTTACCTTGGGAGATAAAAGAACTTTTACTGGAATATTTCCTTGCATAGATAGCTATTAAGGGTAAAATTTTGAGCATAGCGTAACACATACTTAGAGAAGATATGTTCACCAGTTTCAAGATGAACATGAAGAACATTCATTTATTTTCATGAAGAAATCTCAATTTTTTGTTGCTGTCATTGTTCTTTTGTTTATCATTATTTCCTCATTTTTTATGTTATTTTGCTTCCCAGGTATTTTCTTCAATAATTTCTATTTCTGAAGGCAATATAAATGTATTTGCATCAAAATTCTGTATAGTTGCTTGGTGACACAGGATTTTTTGTATAACACTAATAGAATGAAGTAGAATTCTCATCTTATTTGTACTGGAGCATTTGAAATATATATAGGATGAAACGACTACCAGTGATGAGGGGAATGCAGCAAAAATATGTTACTTATTTGTTTTATGGTTTTGGGTTAAGGGAGCTAATAATTACATCTCCCTGATTTAATATTAAAATTATATTTTATGTTACTATTTCCTTATACTATACTAATGTAGTGCTGATTAAAATCTTCCTCCTTGAGCTCAGAGAAGATTGGTTCAGAACTTCTCAAAAAAGTACTTTAGTTTTATTGACTTCTCAGTCAAAGTTGGTAGAGTTTGCATATTTTTATAATGAGGCACAGGAACAATAAACTCATCTGTAGGAAAACTACAAAGCATAAAGCTTTATTTTGCTCAATGTGCTGAAAAATTAATCAAGATGAAAATACCTTTTTTATTTATTTTGCTGGGCTTTTTTTAAGTATTTGATGTCAGCATACCTTCAATTGCCCTGATCTCTGTTTTAAAGCTAGAAAACACCTAAAAGAGAAGCACAGAGAAGGGATCTTACTCAGTGATGCAGATTTGACACGCCTGTGTGACAAATCTATAGACTCCATGCAAGGCACTCTTGGTTATTTCAGCCAGGATCCTCTTCTGGCCAAGAGCAGGAAACAATTGTTTTTCAAAAAGTGTAGGAACAAAACCAAAACAAACCAAATCAAAATATATCAGGGTATCTAAATTTAAACACTTTTAATATGTTGAATCACAAGTTTGGATTCATTAGGATGAAAAGTTTGTTCGTAAGTCTGTTTTGTTCACTATGGAAGTTACAGTATATATTAAAAGAACATTGCTGTGTCTTTAAACGAAGATTGACTAAAACCAGTAAAGCCAAAATATAGTTAAATTTTGCTGTAGTCCTTTCTTAGACCTTCCCATTTTGTAACTCTTCAGATGAATGCACTAAATGATCGCTACTGATCAGACACTACTCCCTTCATGCTATCTGTACCATGCAGATAACAAGGTTCTACATTTTATATGAACTTACTGCTTAAAAAGGGAATTCCTGAAGATGATTGCTCACTCTTTGTGCACATACTTGGATTTTTCTTTTCTCACTGACGTGGATGAGATGACACTCAGTGTTGTTGCCAACAAGATTGAGGAATTTGTTTTGCCAGCAAGAAAGCCACCAGAGGTATTGAATTTTGTGGTGTCACTTGACGTGGTATCTATCACTTATGTAGAAAACTCAATTCTGGAGGTGGGACTGTATAGTTGGGAAATATATGCTGCATATTATGGATGACCCTAATTCCAGAAAGGCAGAGTGTTTTCAAGTTGCCCACTTTGCTTTGAAACGCCTGCAGGTGCCAACTGAACCTTCAGTTTGACAAGTTGGGCAAACAGAACTGCAAAAAGAGCCACTGTCCCTTGTCACCACCAAATGGGGTCAAGGCTACATTTGAAAAGGCATTTTCAATTAAAGTCATCTCTTCAGTTCAGTACTTTGCCATAATTATTTGCCAGAGGACTCTGGCTGTGTTTATCTTCAATATTATTAGCTTCAATGCACTCGAGTGCAAACATTTTAGCTGAGTGTGTGATCGAAGGACTAGCTTCTTAATCTATGAAACTCCACACCAGTGCATCAAAATAAGCCACAGGTGGAGGATATTTGGAAATTAATGATGATCTGTAGATTTGAATTTGTCAAATTAACACTTGTGATGCCAGCTGGAAATTAAAACATGCTTTTAGTACTATTTATATGTAAATTAGGCAATTATCCTTAAAAAAAAAAAAAAAAAAAAAAAAAAAAAACTACCAAATTTGATCAATAATTAACTTAGGTTATTTTCATCCAGAAAATTTCTTGACATCAGAAATAAATATTTGTTTTATTTGAACCCTTCAAAATAATTTGTCTTGTTTTTTTTTTGTTGTTGTTCCTGTTGATTTTTATTTTGCCAGTAGGTGTAAAGATGTACAGCAAAAGGTTTTAATCATGGCTATAATAATCAATTCACTATTATTAAAAGTATTATGAATGACTTCAAACCTTTTTATATTCTTGGCATGTAAGAAAGATCTGTAGCGAAGGATGGGCACATCATGCCTCTGAGTAAAGTGTACACATTGCCTAATTGAATATATCCTTCATTTTATCCATTAAGGAGAACAAAAAAAAGAAGAAAAAAAAAAAGCAAATCTAACCTATATTCTAATGTACACCCACGTTATTATAAATTAAGACCTTCCATTGCTTAAGTGCTTGTATATATGAAAGCACAAATGCTTCTAAATTTACTTTCTTGTGCAGGCCAACTGAATTAACTTAGCTGCAGTTTTGAATAATAAAATTGTACATAAGTAGAACCAGGAACAATGCATGTAAATTCATTAAAAAAAAAACAGAGGTAACTGCTCACTTGAGAAAGCAGTCTAAAAAAACAAAAAAATTAGAGAAATAGGATCTCCACAAGTTGCAAAATGTTGACAATTTAGCTTTGCAACAGTGTAATTTCTACATCCAGACTAAAAGAGTGGTTTTTGTATGTACACTTTAAATTATTTAGGTAAGAAATAGTTTATTTTTCCCTGCTGAATGAATGTTGTGCAAGTTATTCCTGACAAAAAAGAAAAAGGAATATACATAAAATAATGCTTCATAAACTCTGCTATTTATTCTCAGATCAGTTTCTTCAGAAAATATCTAGATCTGCGTATTGGTGGCACAGTACTGAATCATTTCATAAAAAATTAACACTTTTTCTTTTTTTTTGCAGTTCAACAGAAGAGCAGTTTCACTGGCAAACACAAGGTAATAAACTTATCATTAGAGTACTACATATAGAGTACTACATATATTCTCTCCCATAAATATGCTTCCCAAATAAGGTAAAGGGGAGAACAGCATGCATTTATATGCTTGTTGGGTGTTTTCTTTTCTAGTGTTTGAAAACTCTGATGAAAAAATAGTAAAACTTGGCAAAAGTGGTTAGGGTTGGCAAATGGAGCATCTACACAGATAAAATAAAGCAAAGTTTTGAGAGAGGGCACTGGTCTCTAGGTTTTTCTTAAGATAAGACCTGTGCTTTCTTAGTTTGCTTTTATTAATCCAAAGCCAAACTTATAAAGGGCAGCATAACTCTCCTGGATCAGTGTGGCCAGCCTGCTCTGAATATGCCATTTTGGTGTGTTTTCCATTCCTTTATCAGATATAACTGATATATGTACATGATAGCATGTAATTAGTTTTATCTTTTGCTTTTCTTATACTTTTTTATGTAAATGTTATTACAGATGGTCAGAAGGATATAGAAGATGAGCTTACTACAGGTCTGGAGCTGGTGGACTCCTGTATTAGATCACTGCAAGAATCAGGGATACTTGATCCACAGGACTATTCAGCCAGTGAAAGTAAGTTGCTAAAAATGTGCTTTTCAGAACCCACAGTTATTTGTAATACTTCATGCTTTAAAACTGAACACATGTATTAGAATGTTTTTCTCATTATTTTCTCAAATCAGCAGAAGACAATGTAGCTGGGAGCAGGAAAATTGCCTCCCTGCATTTCCAATTTGATTTTTGATTTTCTTTGTAATTGAGAGAATTTCACTGGCAGTCTGTGGGCAGAAGCACCATGGAATATATTTTAAGAAATACATTTAGAAATTGCAGTATGGCCATACTGCATTACAAGGTCATGACACAAGACTTCAACATCATCACTACAAAAGCATCTTTAAAGCAGCATTGCTTCAGTATGCAAAAGAAGTAAATGAAATGTGAGGTGGTGTGATGTCACTTTTTAGCTAGTAGCAAATACTCTCTAGGACCAAAATTTTCAAATGGATAAATGGGCCATAATAGTTGAACTATTAAAGGATGATGCACAGAACGCCAGCAGCAGCAGAAAAGCTGAGGCCTTTTCTCAGATGTTGGTTCACTGGTCATTTGGCAGCTGTTTTTGTTTGCAGAAGAGTGCTTTGAGTGGAGAAGTGAATCAAAGCTGCAGTGAGTAAGGAACAGGGACGTGCCACCCAGTGTATTTGTAGAGCAGATATCTACAAATGCATGTGCTCCAAAGTCACATACACTGAGACAAAGCTTTCCAACAGGCTGATAAGTCTGATATGAGATGTGGCAATGGGCACTGAAGATGCAAATTAGTTCCCTATTTTCCTTTGCTTTTCCTCAGTCTCCTTTCTGATACACTGTTCCTGTCTGCCACAAACTATACACACTTTCCCACCACTCCTATTGCTGCTCCTGACGTTACCTTGGCTTTTCAATTTTCTCTAGCATTCCTCTGTATGTCTTCCTCTATGCTCCCTTGAGCCATTTTTGTCTTCTTCAGTCCCTTGCTGCTTAGTACCCTGTGACTGAATCACATCTTTCAGGGTGGCTGCCCAAATTCAGCTTTCTTAAAAACAAAGGGAATGATTTCCCTTTCCTGTGGAAAGGCTAATGGAATGTGACAGCAGCCTTCTGCAAAGCAATGGTGAGTTGTCACCTGAAATGTCGTCATCATTTCAAGTGAAAACAAAGCAGTACAAGGCTGAATGCAAAATTTTAATTTGTCAGAACATTTTTCATTATTTTAAAACAAGATTTGCAATTTGGGACAGTAGATAGTTTTTCACTTTTCATGTACACAAGATTACTGGGCCAACAATATCACTAACAGTTTTGGTAAGATGCTCTTTGACCTGAGAAAAATTTTCTGTTGGGAAATCATGATGCAACAGTTTAAGCCCTTATAAGTTGCCCTGAGTTTTTCACCTGTTACTCTGTTGTATTCATTTTGAAGTGAGAAGAAATAGACTGAATGACTGATCACAATTGTTATCATACATTAGATAGAAAAATGAATCTGCGTGGACTGCAATAGGGAAGGTTGAAAGCTAGAAGCCCCCTTGGCTGGGCATTGCAGAAACTGGATGAAGAGATGAAAACTAAGAAAAATGTTAGGGAAGGATGAGGATAGTAGGTAGAAAGAAGTCTGGGTAGGTGAAGGTAACTGGTATTCAACAAATTTCTGAGGAGCATCACAGAAAGATAGGAATCAAATAGGAATGCAGTGAAACTAGATTGCCGCTTGCTATTTATGGTTGTTAATTAAGAATCAGATATATGTGCCAATAGTTGCAGTTAATCAATCATAAATGCAGTCAGGATGTCATACACTGGATTTTTCTTTTTGTTTGGGAGTCTGTTCTCAATTTAGAATAAAATTTAACAGATACATCAGTTAAAATGATGTTCTGCTTGCAAAGTTAAAAGCACCATTATCAAGACTGCCTGTGCAAAATATTTTTTTTTCTTGTGACTGTACTCTACAGCAATTATTATCATGTTTTGTTTTGTACATTTTCTGTCAGTGCTTCATTTACCCTACAGCTAAGGTTTAGATGGTGCAGTAACAGGTTGGCCATGGGCCAGCAGTGTGCCTTTGTGGCCAAAAAGGCCAGTGGTATCCTGGGGTGCATTAAAAAGAGTGTGGCTAGCAGGTCAAGGGAAGTCTCCTCCTCTACTCTGCACTGGTGAGGCCGCATATAGACTACTGTGTCCAGTCTGGGGCTCTCCAGTTCAAAAATGACAGGGATCCAGGAATCAAATGGAGGGCCACAACAATGGTAAGGGGCCTGGAGCACCTCCTCTATAAGGAATGGCTTGGTAACCTGGGTCTCTTCAGCCTGAGGAAGAGAAGACTGAGAAGGGATCAAATAAAAGTTTATAAATACCTAAAGGGAGCTGGGAGGCAAGGCTGGATGAGGCCAGGCTCTTCTCGGTGATGCAATAGGACAAGGAGCAATGGCCTAAGTCTTGAACATAGGAAGTTCTATACTAACATGTGGAAGAATTTCCGTGTGGTAAGAGTGACAGAGCACTGGAACAGGTTGCCCAGAGAGGTCGTGGAGTCTCCTTCTATGGAGATATTTAAGACCTGTCTAGATGCCTACCTGTGTGACCTATTGTACCTGCTGTAGCAGGGGGTTGGACTCAGTCTCTTGAGGTCCCTTCCAACCCCTGCGATTCTATGATTCTGTGATTTCATCTTGAGCACTACTAACTTCTCTACACAATGAGAGCATAGATATTAAATGAAAACAAAAATTACGTATTTAATAGTTCAGCTTCTCACTTTGCATCGTAAATTTCTGATGTGATAGTTAGGAAATCATTCAAGTTACCTTTTTCCAGTACATAGTTTTATATGTTAATGGCTCATCCACAGGTGTGTTGAGAACAAACACATCTAGTAGAACTGTGGTAGCAGTGTCTCAAATATACGAAAAGTTATATGAAGGGAAATGTAGGACTTACTCTGGATTATCTCATAATATTTGCATTTCATAGACAGTTTTCATTGTAATTCGTTCAGTTTCTACATAGGAAGTGAAATAAACGTCTCACTTCATAAAAAGCATTGTTTGTGATGCATTGGAACTTGAGTATTGAGTGTCATAGGGTAATCCACAAGAGTTTTTTTCCTTTGTATTGGATCATTTTCAAGGAAGGCCTGAAGTGGAATGATGAAGAATGAAGCAATCATGCAACACTGAATAGGTTTGCATTTTTGTGTGCACTGTCCATAAGACAGGGAGGGAGAGGAAGAGTGATAATTCAGAAAAATCGTCATTATGTGCCATCTCTTAGCTTTTGTAGTCTTGAATTTACAATTTTACCTAATTTTACTTCTGCATTTTGAATGCATAGCTGTATTTTATGTCACTAGGCTAACTCTGAGGAGAACATTTCTATCCTGCTGTGTCAGGTCTAGCCTAGTTGAGGCTGATTTTTGAAATCATGATATGAAAGTTTCCCTGGGGATGTGACCACAGCTTCTTTTCCCAAACTGCGTGCACCTAGTGTAACAAGTTAATCTGTTGGTAGCTTTACCTTTGGAGAGGATTAGTGTTTCTGTAGTCAGAATCCTTATGATTCAGTTTTATGCACTCTGACTTTCTCAGAACTATTTTTAAAAAATGGTCATGTAGCAGGCACAGGCAGCTGTTATAATACCTCAAATCCCAAATATCATCACATGTGGTATTTCTTTACCAGCAAATAGAAGTCATGGACATAAGCTCACAAGACATATCACACGAAGGTGGCTTAGGCAGGAGGTGTTCCATATTGCTAGGAGCAGTGCTCGCTAATTATCTTTGCTGAGTGTGAATGAGCTGATAGACAAATACATAGGTAGTGCTGTATAAAGCTTTTATTAGTATGGGGCAAGTAGAGCTGTCCATGTCTTTTAAGTAATTTTTGTCAAAGATGAGCAGATTTATAACTGCTGTTTCCTCACATAAGCTTTCTGTGGTTACCCAGGCCTGGGACAAGGCTGTATGCATCTGAGAGGTGCTCCTACACTGTGGCCAATCTCTTTCTTCTGTTTCAACTCAGTATAAACTAGCTTCCCAGAAAAAAATGTGTTTCTATTTTGTTTCACAGTGTTTCACATTGGATGTTAGGAAAAACTTCTTCAAAAGAGTGGTGAGGCATTGGAACAGGCTGCCCAGAGAGGCAGTGTAGTCAGAGGTATTCAGGAAACAGGTAGATGTGGCAATGATGGAGATGGTTTATTGGGCATGGTGGAGGTGGGCTGACAGTTGCAACTAGATGATCTCAGTGATCATTTCCAACCATAATGATTCTATGAATCTGTGATTCTACTTAGAGACAAGCAAAAAACAGAAAATTATGAATAAGGTTGCAGGTCAGTTAAGACCTAAACCTGCATACCTTTGTCCAGCTTCCTGTACTGCAGGAATTTCTCTTTGCCTTTACATAGCTATAGATCTGTCGCAACTATGTCACTCCAGTTTACATCACATAGCTGATGTTGCTTTCATGGTGTCAGAGAAGAGCTAAGATTGTCCTATGTGCTTGTGGAGATGCCACCAGCAGAAGGTCAATGGTTCACTAGTACCCTCAGTCTCTGAGGTGGGCAGCTAAGGGCTACTGGCTCATATGGTGGCAGCCATTTGCACATCCCAGGCTCCACCAGTCCTTCAGTGTGACTGTACTGGCACTCCATCCCTCCCCCATGCTGTCAGTAGCTGTAAAACTCAGCATGGCAGCCTGCAGTGGGTGGCTGAGCTGGCTGCTCCTTTCTGAAACTTTCTTCAGACCACCATTTTCTGTTTCTGATGGGCCCCAGAGCACAGTTTTTGTACAAATGAATACTTGTCATTTAAACAAGGTTCAGGGAAAGATCAGAGATATGAAAGCTAGGTTACATAAAAGATACTGGGAATGAGTCACAGGATAAGGATGGAAATGTTCATTGAGTGTATGGACTGGAATCCATAGGGAATCCAGAGGGAAACATGTAGGGGAGCAAAATTTTGATGGGCTGTGGACCAGAGTTCAGGACAGAGCTAATATTGATGATGTTTCAGATAAACATA